TTAGTAGCGTAAAACCAATACCTGTATATCATATTAATGTATTCATAATAGAAGACCCACAAGCTATATTTGCAAGGTATCATCTCTTATTATCGTAAATTTCTCTTTTTTCTCATAATAACAACATATATATGTAGATATATATATCTAAATATTATGAGCAATATTAATAATAGACATAAATGAACATTTAACCTTTTAAAAAATACGTAGCGTATCCTTATTGCAGTAAGCCATCTTATTGTGTATTTAAGATCATTGCTTTTCAATACTTCGTAAACGCCGGAAATTGCTAACGAGATTTAGCCATTGAAAGTGACTGATATAAAGAATTGTGGTACAATATACTGATTTAATAAAGGCGTTTGTAAATCATGAGTATAAATAAAGAAAATATCTAAAATTCCAGTTTAAATATTATCATTTCATAATTTCGCTTTGTCGAATCGCCTTAGCTATGTTAACCGGGTTCAATATTTAATTTATAAAAAATTCTAGTTAGATATATAAAGATAAACAAAGATAGATATTGCTGCGTAATATGTGCGGTTCTGAGGTGCTTATATTATCAAAATCTTCAAATTCCTTACATCATTAGAATCTAATGTATGAAATACCTCTATAAATAATATATTAATAATAATATCGTTGGACAATTCACACAACGACACCTAGTTCAAAGGTAAGTAGAGCTTGTATTTGTATTGTGTACTAGACTACTTATACAAATAATTCGATTTTTTTCAAATATAAATAGAAAATACCCAGACTGATACAAAAAATAAAAATCTTGAATACAAATATTAGTACTGAGCGACGAATCGAACCAGCCATCATCGGAAGTAAAGCGGTATGCTAAACCACTAGACTACTGAGGCCGTACATCCAAAATTGTTTTACAATATAGCCTGATAATCTACAAATCATTTTTCGTTTATATGAAAAGATAATTTACGTGTCACTCTGCTATGTGGAACTGATGTCAAATATGCTGTATATTGTTATTTATCAAAAAAATGATAAATGGACCTGTAATCGAGAAAATGTAGTTTGTTATGTATCTGTTACCTGCATGTCATAACTCTTACAAGTTTGTCTGATATGAAAAATATGCTTGCATTTCAGTTTCGCAACTGGCACACTATTATTCTCCCGTGTCAATTATCTCCGACGAATGTAGTTTCGGTATGCGCCATTACCATTTATTTTAACAAATATTTTTGTAAATTAACATTCGTAGATAAACTACATCTCTACCTAATAATCAGAACTTATAATACAATAATAGAGTTCCGTACCAAAATGTGAGAATCTATTTGAAGTAATCTAATTTGCTTAAGTTGACAACTCACAATCTGAAACTTTCAAAATAAATAACTAATCATAAATTCTTATAGGAAATAATGTAGGCTAATAAATATTTTTTTTCATTCCATTAAAATAACATGTAAGTATCTTTGTACAAATAAAATACTACAATGAGTTTATACGATCGAACGAAAACACAAACTACAAGAATATTACATAAGATATAGTAAGTATTATAGTAAGAAGTCCTTTTACTGTTTAACATAACTATTAGGAATAATTTTCAGCAGAGAACAATCTCTGCATGCTGGTGATTTCTGTAGCTATATAATGAGGATGTAGCCTTTTTGTTTGTAGGATGTAATCAGCCAACAAAAATATATACAGTAAAACAATCTAAATAGGCTATAAGCGGTGTTTATCAAGCGAAAGAGGGTCCGGGAGGTGCCTTGCCGGATAATTTGCGGAGCATTTTTTGCTAATACAAAATTAATGACGTAGCACTTTCCATTCTCTAACGTTTTTCTTTACCACGCTTTGTAACGACGTGCTTGTAACAAGGGATTGTCTCGGCGGATAAGATTCTCGGTTGTTTCATCGGTCCCAGAACAAAAACAATACTCCGTGTATATTAGATGGCGACCCTTTTGACCTGATGTAGAACGAAATGTTTTCGCTAGCCGCAATCCCAATTGCAAGCTTAATTTTTTCACCCGCTTATAAAATTATATTTTTCCCCACAACATCAAGGAAAAAGTTATAGGTACTTTTTTATTAGAAAATCTTTTGACAAAACAATAACAGATTTCTGTATAGCAGTTATAATAACTATGGTATAAATTATAAGAATTGATAATAGAAGATATTAATTATTGTTTATTACTCCATTTTACTCGATAGATCATAATGCATACTTTACAAATAAGAAATTGCAGTTCCTAGCTCTAAGAAAACATTTATATAATATATACATAATATACTCCATAACAAGTTTAAATCTATAACGAAAATAATGGAAAATATTTACTAAATGAATAAATCACATGGTTTATATTCAAATAACTTTTGATATTTACTTTTAATTCCGGCGTATGAAGGCCGTAGTAATTACTTTAAAGCAATTTGTCAATTAAAAAGCTATATGTTATTATTAAAAATTAAAGAATATAATTCCTTTTACAATATTTTTAAGATAGAAGTTAGTTAAGTGTATATGTACATATATGAAAATGATAGAAGAATCGCATGAAAATAGACTAACAAACAAAGATTAAATATTATATTGCGACTACTGTAAAGTTGAATAGTATAATATTTTGTGATAATTATTCATTATTAATTTGAAAAAGAAAATTATACATGAAAACATACATTAAATAATGACATATATCATGTATGATTTTTTTATAATTTCATAAATAATAATAGCCTAGTAAGATGTGACGAGACCGTGTTGAGGATAGAAACGTTTGGAGACGATATCGGAAGACCTTTGGTACACAAATTAGGACTATTATTTCTTAATAGTCTGCTTGTTTTACATAAATAGATACATATTGTACATAAATAGATTAAATATCTAATGCTAACATGAGATTACTTAGGATTATTTTGCCAGATTAACAAGAAAATAATAGAAGAGATTCGACACTATTCAAGATTTGTATATGTGCTGAGATCTTTGACGCTATCTGTAGCTATTTAAAGGAAATAAAATATTGATGAAATTTAATGAATATAGTGTCGTTAGTTTTGGCCAAAGTTGTAACATACACAAAGAAACTATAGGATGCGTGACAATAGTATTTTTTGGTGTGTGAAATCCATGCATGATTTCAACAGTCAGTTTTTAATATGTCGCAACCACTTAAGTACTGACTATTTTAATTATTAAACTTGTACTAGAACTTCTGATATTGAAAAAAATCCGAAGATAGGAAAAATTATTTGCAACAGATGTTGTGTACAAAGCTACGCACGCAATACAAAATAAATTCTGCATATTACCATACAACAACGTGTCTCAAGACAAGTTATCTGCTCATAGTCCCTCTCCCTTCCTTTGGATTAAATCAGAAATCACGCGGTGAATCCATGATATGCTAAGAGGTCTGTCTCTTAACGAACTTTATATATTTCCAAATAAATACCTATAATTATGATTACAGCTAATGAAAATCAAACAAATAAGGTATAGATACTTTACCTATACATATAATAATACCCGATTGCGTCCTGTAGAAATAACAATACATATAACAATTTAACAAAATAAAATCTTCTGTGTAGGTACTCGACCTAAAAGATGTTATTTTGTTTAATGTCATCAGTCACCATATTTGGATATTTAGTAGTATGGTTACTGTGTTCTCGACATGGCATGCTCTGTATGTGTCACATACATCCTAATTCACTTTTATTATGGATTATAACTATATGAGAAAAACTCTTATTGATAAAGACACACACTTATCAATGTAATAGAATCCTAGATGATGTTTGTTATAACTGTAATAAACTAATCTGTTCATCTGAGCGATTGTGGACGTTAATCTCAGAAATCGCTTAACCAATTTGGGTGCGCTTTTCACTCGTGTACTGTGGAAAGCTTTGCTTGAAATCTAGTGTTTGTTTTATTTCACTCAGTTTAAAAAACAAAAAAGTTATTCGAATACGAAGTGAGCTTAGCCGGTCTTAGCTGTTAGAACAAAAATCGCAGTACTGTGTACCTAGTATTAAATTCCCAATATATATTATCCTTTATTGTTAATGAAGAAATATGATTTTATTTATAATATGCTTATTACTGTAATACCTAATGAAAGCAATTGTCTTGGCCTACGTCTGTTTTCTTTTTTGGATAAAATAAATGTTGCCTGTCTTCCTCCATCATGGCGTTTCAAGCGTTCATATTATTCGACCATTACCATCAGATTGGCCATATTCTTATTTGCCATTAACGTGATCTAAGATGGGATATGCTCTATCTCCACATTTCCATCAACTGTTTTAGTCCTGAAAATTTTAAACTTTTCTATATATAATGTTAGTATGAATGGAAAAATATCCGATAAGTTGTTTACCTTTCCTTTAATTTCAATTCGCAGAAGCATTTATAAATATACCAAAATATTTTTTGTTCAAACCTCGTACCTACATATATTACTACATAAATTTTATGGAGATTCTTCCAATATCTATTACTAAACTATTCCACCGGGCTTATTTACACAGTACTCATATCTCAAACATAATTTATAATACCTGCCGAATTCAATTCATGTGTTTACTAAATAAATAAAACGACTTGACTATAATAAAACAAATGTTGACAAACCAGTTAGCAGACAGGTTAAATAAAAGATGCTTAAAGCTCGAAGTATTTATTCCTGTTTTAATAGGACATAAAGAAATACATACGTATATATGAGTATGTGCCATTTAACTCTTTAAGAATATAGTTAATGTACCAATCAATTATATGAAAATTAACTTTTTGTCAGTCGTTTTAACTAACATTGATTCATCAGAACCATTATTAATGAATCTATGCATCATAATGTCATGTTTAATGCACGTATTGAATAGGACAAAAAGTCTATTGTTTGTCGCCGAACTACGGTGTGATTGGGGTCAAGCAACCGGTCTGATATGACACCGGTTATAATAAGGAGAATGGTGAAGCATAGCGTACAACAACATTGCCATTCAACTAGCAGTTTTTTCCGCAAAGCCTTCAACAGTGCACGCGACGGTGTAACAACATTCGTTAAATTTAAATAGATTAAGTTTATATCATCATCTAAAAATTTATATATTTACTTGTGTCCAATTGTGTCGTGACTAATTGTTTTTTTAAAGTAAGTATAAGTTTTATTATCTAAATTTTTATTTACACATACTTACACGTAGATTTCTTTAAAAACCTAATGAATTAGTATTTTTAAGAATGTATTTGTTTTAACTTAATTATATTTTACTAGATAGGCCCGCTTTCACCCGCGTTTAATTTCAATAAAAAATATAGCCTATAGGTTATTCTGATGCATCAGCTTCTTCTCTTTCTTCTTGCTCTTAACTTTACAGTAATATACACTGTAAAGTTTCGTCAAAATCCGTTCATTGGTTTTTCGTGAAAAAGTAACAAACATTCATACTTATAAACTTTCGCGTATATAATATTATTAAGATTTCAAACTATTGTGATGAATGATAATTACAACATCGAATAAAACATTTATAGAATAACGCAGTATAATATAATTACAAGACATTATTCATTAAATACGCTTCCTGGCTAAAACAATGGACTGGTTTGGTATTCTGATCACGAACATACCGATCTTCGCAATATAAAGATTTTATTACCTACTATATAGAATGGACATGATCAACGCAAATAGTACTCGACACATTCTTAAGATTCGATTATTTGTAAAATGTATATTATAGATAAATGTACGTGAACAATAAAATACAACAATAATACAACACCAAGTATGAAGCAAGACCTTGACTATACCTATAATATATATTATTATATATAAAAAAAATTACAAAACTAGCCATTAAATGATTAATAAAATATAACAATGATGTTATTAAATTAATTATAAATAGCGAATACATAGTTAATAACTAATCTAAATTGCTAGTATGAAATAGAGAAAATAGAAATCCCGATCATAACTTGTAACTCAACTTCAACCTCAACTGCAACTCCAACTCTATAAGAGAACTCATAAATTAAAGCGGCATTATAACATAATATAATATAAACCAGGCACATACTTGTATCAAAAGCAATATTACTACAACTTAATAATAAAAATAGTTCTAAAAATACAATATATTATATCATATTTTATTAATATAAGTGATTATAGTGATAGTGATAGTTATATTTTGCAAAATTATATTTGATTATTTAATGGATGCATAATATTTTGTTTAATGTAGTGGTAGCAGATTTAAACACAATCATTTAAATCTATTATGTAATACATATTAATGTAATAGAAAAAGTTATAAAAAAAGTATTAACTATTTTTTAAGGTGACGAACACTATGACTTAACAACAACAATATAAATTAACGGTAGATTCTATGTATTAGAATAATAAAATGATATCGAAAAAAACTAGTAACCTAGTGCCTCTATTTAAGATTATCAAACCAATGATATAATATTATTATCTTATAAAATGGCGCAACGTACAAGTGAAAGTTGCACTTGAGTTCTGACGCCATTTGGTCATTCGATGCAATAACTAATGTTTGTAATAGCTATGCGCATAATATAACACGAGTGGTTTCATCTTTATTTTATTTAGTTCTACACTACTATTTATAAATTTGTATAAAGCTTGAATAAAGCAGTGATTTACTATGAAATCTGAATATAAAAAGTTAGTACGTACTTAATTATAAAGTCGACTTATTTTATTTTATTAAATAAATAATTCAATAAAATAAAATAGGTCGACTTATAAAATAACGAACTGTTAACTTAGAGCCATTAAAATATATTTATAATACGACTGAATACCTATTTATAATAATAAAGAACAATCTTATTAATTGTTCCTTATTCGTATTATAAATAAATATCAATTTTTAACAAATAATTACATTCGAAATATGTTAATATGAGAGGAAACTATTTTTAATTACGTTTTAGAAATTGAGATACACATATCTATGTACGCGATGTTGCTCTACCTCGTTTGTTTCTGCAATTAAGTTAGCTCTGACTCTAGCTCGCTTTCAATGACAACACCTGCTTTTAAATGAAAGGCATAACTAAATACCATTGTGATATACATTTATTTTTATTTTTATTTTAATTTAATAAAATTTAAATTTATATTTTAACTATTATAGTAGACTCGCAAACATATAAAGATAAATAAAAGATTTACTCCCGAGCATATTAAGTCAAACCATGTTAACACCAACTAAATTTTGATACCGCAATTTTAAATAGAGATAAGTAGTCTAACGGAGATATATTGCCGCGACCTATCTCTATCAATATCTATAAATATACCACTGAATGGACTTACCGGGTATATACAAGGATATCTTAGTCCTTGATGCTTTTTATATCTACAAGCGACGGTAACCACTTTCCGTTTTTGGCCATCAGCACATTTGCAATTCCGGTTACAAAAGATTGATGTTAAAAAAATAAAGGAACATGCACTGTTAATTCAGTCATGTATAAACAAGTGATGAAACAGATACACCTTGCGATAGTAGAAGGGCACGGGTAAGCAGGAAGATAAAATTTACTTAGTAATTATAAAAACAACATTAACCAAAAACACTAAAATATATATTTCAACTTACAAGTTATTCCTTGTGAGAGTCTGGAGTCTGAACTAAGCCTATTATATCTGAACCATAAATGAAATTATCAAAAGGTTTCTTTAATGTAACTACAATTTAATATAATGATATTAATGGTGTTATGGATACTACATAACTGATACAAATATAAAATACATTTTTTTTAAATACAAACATATTGTACATAGGGAACATCCAGACCAATACAAACACTCATGAATACAGATGTTTGTATCGCGCGAAGAATCGAACCCGCGACCATCGGAAGTAAAACAGTATGCTAAACCGCTAGACCACAGAGGCCGACTGCGGTAGCTAGACTTTGTATAAAGTCGTCTGCATGTGTGGGCTTGCTTTATAAGCTGTATTTCGGATCAACTGTGACATGAGACATTGAAATTATAAGGATAACAGGCATAACATCTTAGTTCCTCAAAATATGATATCATGGGCATCATATGATAACATAATGTCGTAGTGCTGGTCATAAATATATACTTGTAAGTCTGATGATATAAAAAATAGTTATAAGATATGATAGACACTAGTGGTAACACTTAACCGTTGCCATTCCTAATTACTATAATGGTATGCCTCCGTAACCTATAATTTTATTGCTCTTGGCCTTCAAACCGAAACACATCAGGATGCTAGCTAACAGTAATAACTCAGACAAACGTACTCATATAGACCTTATATGTTCTCCCTTTAGTACAATCTATATTTATCAGTGCTTATAATACAGGTTTATCTACTGGTACTTCGCATAACTTCTACAAGTACAGTAGCGTGCATTACATTGTATTTTTGTTGTAATTGCCGCAATAAAGTTGTGAGAAAATAAACTATTATCGCTTTGTAAAATCCTTGTAGCTAATAATTATACGAAGTAGGCATAGTTCAATATCCAAATATACTTGGATATTGAACTCCAACCATATATATTTTAATTTGAATACGTGTTTTGACATGTTATTCGTATTATTTTCTCTTTGTATAGTCAATCAGTATGCTTGGAGATATATATCTACTTTTGTTTATTAATGATAAGTATACAAATTTATTTAAACGTAATGAATATTTCTAAAACTGATTGTTCTAATGTGGAAAAATACATTATTCACTAATGATAAGTCATGGATTTATAAAATGTTTTTTAATTATTATATATATTAGAAGTCTGCATGAACAATTTTGAGAGCCCATCAAAATTGTTATAAAAATAGGTAAATCCAAATAACTTCTTTGTTATGTAATTATTTAATTAAATGTCACGACGTACTAAAACATAATTCTTTGTATGTACGGCGTAAATTCATATAACAAATGTCAAACGCAGTTCAAAACAAAACTCAAGGGGATTTGCCTGTAAGGTATTTTTTTATATAATACTAGCTGTGCCCGCGGTTTCGTCCGCATGAAAATTATAGCCTATATGTTATTCTGATGTATAAGCTATATTACTAAAAGTAACTAGACTAAACTAAAGTTTCAACAAAATCCGTTCAGTAGTTTTTGCGTGAAAGAGTAACAAACATCCATCCATACTTATAAACTTTCACGTTTATAATATTATATATTCATAATAATAAGATAACTAATATCAATATTCCTTTTCATATTAAGGATATTGTAAAATATTAAAAATTATAACGGAAATAAGTAAATATACTGCACATAATTATTTAAATACACCTGTAATAGGTGCGCAATTTTTCCGCTGTGACTTCATCACAGGTAGACACAATCCGGTATAAATATGCATGTTTTATTTACGTCAATGTACAATCAACATTATAGGAATAAAGTACATTTATATCATTATTCTTAATACTGTACTACGTATCTCTCGATAAACAATAATCTTTACTTACATTCGGTTTAAAAAATATTAAATGTGATATTTGCATTATAAATCGTAATAAAAGCATTTATATAAAAATACGTAACACTATGAATTTTCATATGAAGCAGATAGTTATGAATATTCTGATATGTTAGAATTTGAAAAACATTTTATATTCATAATTACTTTACACCATCAGGCAAGAAATTTATATGACATCAAATAACGTAATGGGAAGCAGCAGCGGATTTGCAGACATTTCTAATAGCGGTGACTGAGCTTTACTCGTCATATTCTTGTTTAAATTAAAATTTTTTCATGTTCAACTTTTTCTCAAATTTCTAGAAATTTGAGAAAAAATTACTAGCCACATAGCCTTAATGACAAATTTTATATCCTGTCACGCTTAAATGTCCCAAAATTTTGATTTTTCAAAAAAATACACTACTACATCCTTAACTAAAAAATTTTAAGGCCAAATTCATCTTTATAGTATTGTAGTAATAAATGCACTAATTATAATATAGTACATAAATACAATTAATAAATGTTGTATGTAATTATTAATAATGTCATTATTTCAAATTAATTTATAATAATTGGAATATATAGGTAAGTAGGTATACGATCATTAAACAGTATGCATACTACACTTAACCACTCACTCTACGATTTGGGTAATTGAACAACAGCAGGTAACAAGGTCATTATAGCATTTAGACGTTACGGTCTATGCATGTTCTATGTATAGTACGATTTTTTTTAAATAAATCTGATTTAATATGTAAACAAGCATATATCGCTGTCTATGAATAACTTAAATATATCACAGTTAAATTTCTTAAACAATTTACGATGTATATATAATTTATTTACTTAAAGTTAATTAAAAAATTATCACCATAAAATGTAAAAATACAAAAAAATTAAGACGGAGCAGTGTTTCGCCAACTAACTAACTAAAAGTGAAGTAGTAAAATAACACTAAACCAAATTGTCAAATCCCTAAAAGTAAGTATATTATTTTGCAAAAATATCGCTAGTTAATATTTGCATATTACTTCAAAATACTCCTGCGTAAGTCACTATAAACTCTTTTTATTTTTCCAATTCCTTATAGCTGACTCAAAATAATAAAATTAAATATTAATCAAATATCAAGATCCTATATCGAGCCTATTTCATTATCATACTTGACGAAATACGAGTATATAAATAAATACCACACTTTTCGATTTCATAAATGTATTAAACAATAGTGTAAAATGGTGTTTTTTACAAGTAAATTATACTAATACTTCATTTTAGAGACAAGTTCTTAAATCCATTCGTTATCTCGATTTATTTGTATATTTACTTATGATTTAAGAAATATAAAGGTCTTCGTGGTCAAACATAATCTGGCAATTAGAACGTAAATATTGCTTACACGTCCTATCAAGGCCTCTCTTTAAACATTACACACACATTTAAAATTCCATGTTAAGGAAAATTTAGACTAAAAGAACAAAGAGCACAGAACAACCACATGTGGTCACAACAGCTACATAAGAAGAAAGGACTAAATACAAATAGCTACAAGAACTACAACCATGCTGGACAAACGTGTTGGGATGGAATCTAATCTGAGTTTTATATCTATTATATATATATTCTGGAGATGAAAGTGAGTGACGACTATTCTTACTGTGTGACACAAAGAGCCAAAAAGAAAAAGTATATGTACCCTTTTTCTATCCGTTATTCAACAATGTATAACGCTGTGTTAAGAGATACAAAGACAATACGTTTTTAGAATTAACTGCCAGTTATGCCAGTATGCCTACAGATAATTATGAAAACATAGAGTAAATAGCAAACCCCAAAAAACTGGTCGTGGCTACCATTTACTACAATAATTAGAGCAATTGAAAATGGTCGAGATCATTTAGACTAAAGACAGTAATATCTTACTTTAAATAATGCATATTCTACATTAATAAAAATGGATAGGTATCAAAACTTAGAAAGTAAATCACTAAATATAAACATAATATAAATACAAAGTAATTTTGAAATCCTATACAAGAAAGTTGGATCATGCAGTAGGTAATTGATATAAGTTTACAAGCTGTTGCGTTTTTGGTATACATTATTACCGTATTTTATTTAATATACGGATCCATTAGTTACGATCTGCTTGCTAAAGTAACACCATTTGTCAAGTTTATGTGTGTTTTTCTCATCTTTACTTTAACATTATAGAAAGTGTTTTAGGATAACATCAATTCTGAAGATGTTATAACTTCTGGGGAATAGATTATTCAAATTTTAATGGTGTTCTCCGACATATTCATGAGAGTTCAGCGATGTTACTCTTGTGAAAGTAGAATGTCACATTGTTACATACTTACTGTAATGTTCCAGTATTGATAACACAAAACAAATAATAAAATACATAAAAAAGCCCGAATTTATCCTACGTACGTAAAGTTCCAATAAATACAAACTAATTACCACTGAAAAGCACAATTAAAAAAATATCATTGTAGTTACGCAATTTACGTACCTAAGTATATAATTACTATATTCTTTTTCATGCACCCGGGTAAAAGTAGCCGTAATTAAAATTTTCTTCAGTGAATTATATATAAATTTTTGTAAAACTTTAATAGTTGTGTTAATTTGTTATACAACATCATGACATCCCATTAAAGTCCCACAGCTGAGGCTTGTACTCCCCTGAGAGGAAGATTTCGCTTACTACGTACAACCATGACAAGCGTGTTAGGATAGGATTTATTTAGCGTTTTTCATCTATTACCCTGGTGTATTCTTTTTTTGATACCTTAGTTACCTATTTCGATTCTGGAATTGAAAGAGATTGCTAGCTATTCTTACAATATTAGACAAGGAGACAAAAAAAAGAGTTATATCACATTTATTATATATTATTTTCAAAATTTTTCACAGTCATTTCGAATTGTATATACTCTGATGTTATTATTATAGTATCAGGGTAAATATAATAATATTATTTAAAAGCGTCGAAATATCGTGTGCTTATAAACGGTGTTTATCACCGTCAATGGTAAATAACCCTTTCATATAATGTATTCAACATATTACATATATCCTTCAATGACATTATACAGAACATTATGCACAGAACCTCTCCTCAGTACTTTATAATCACGTAAATATTCACGTGGATATTTACTTGCAACATCTGCAAGTATCTAAGTATTAAGAAATTCTTTGCTTTTTTACAGACAATGGCGCATTCGGCCACATTAATACTGCTCGGCGTTCTGGTGTCGCAAGTCTATACCGTAAGTAGGCACTCATTCGACGAACGATCGTTAACAATATTTAGTGCGAATATTGCTAATGATTGCGAATAACATACATTATAGGGGTAATTATGGAATATGTTACAGAAGCAAGTATTTTATAAAACAGAAAATCCACTATGTTTTTCCTATATGTTAATACGAAAATAAATGATCCGACTATTTACTATTTCCATAGTCTTTTAAGTTCGGTATCTTTTTATGAAATAAATAAGTAATAAAGTATTACCTTGTAAAGAGCTATTTCATATAAATACCGTATAAAATGTTGAAATAGGTTTACAATTTATTACTTTTCACCTATCAAAATGACTATAAATGTAGATAATAAACGTAGCTAGTTTTGACATATAACTTTATAAATATAATCCATGATTTAATAGCACGTATATAATATTTAGGAGGAGAAAAGACTGGATAAATACATAAAACTACCATTGTACCTAAAGAAAATGCACTAAAAATCTTTAATATTATGATGACTACGTTTTAACAAAGTACGAAAATACAATAAAAAATATAAAACGAACTAGACGTATACTGAAATACTAACTGGTACAGACTATGTAATTAGTTTTAACTTTTCTGTCGTCTTTTTAAATGCATTAACCGCCATCTTTTTATAGATGGCTCTTGTTCACAAAGCAATTATAATCACGGCGGGTAATGAATTTTTTTATTAGCCCATTTTCATGGCCTCCGGATATTCGAGAAAGTAAAAGGTAAAATAAATATTTATGGTTTGAAAAAAAGTTCAATGTTTACATTGAAAAATTTTTAGAAATAAGTTTTATACTTGAAAAAAATGTTAATCAGAAAATTTAGAAAGTCGTGTTCGGGGGTTCTATTTTCATGTTTACTTAAACTCATTATATATTAATATTCTCATTTTGAAATGTAGGTATCAGTGTGGTTGTCAACTCAATGCAAAAGAAAACTTTGCTGCAATTAAGATAACACGAACATATACATGTATATTTTGTATATTTAATATTTTATTTATCTTTTATGACATGTTTTATATTTAATAAAACCATATCGTGTTATTAGATTCCGCATATAATTCAGTAAATCTTTTCACTTTAAAGTTACATATAACTGCTTTTAGTGGAAAAATATATACAATTGGTTTTATTACTACATTATGAGAAATAGTCATACTAATTTCATATGTCGAATTTTATGTTTCGTACATTGACAATATAGACAGTGAGGCAATATACAAACTATATATAGTAAATAAGCCAAGGCTAATATTAAGTAAGAACCTTACACTCAATAGAGGATACTGAACATAGTGTTGCTTTATATCCTTTTTCTACTACTAAGTTTTAATTGCTTAATTTTTACCCTATATAAACTACAAAAGCACAGAAAATTGCAATATAAACATTCGTAAAATGCGATGGTCCGAGAAACAGTGACATAAAAAGCAGCGATCGGGAAACAGGAATCGTAAAGGTATCTGCAGAATGAATTGAGCACGAACCAACACACGTTTGGGCCTGAATAACAAAATGGGGAGTTAAGATTACCTTTTATGCTATGTTTCCGACCACACAAACTTTTGTATTGAGATGAATCACAGATTCGTTGTATGCAGGTGGTAGCCACAGTTCATGATAAAAGGGGTTCGTACTTCTATTCTTAGTTAAACGAATCTCTTGTTCTAATTTTTCTATGATTTATTATTACGTATTTCTAAAGTAATAATAAATCATAAAAAAGATATGCGATTACACGTCTAATATAGTAGACGCAGTGAGAGAACTATATATAAAAACAATAAACAAAAAAGACTTCTATTTCAAATGTTGATAAAGGAATATAAAAAAACTGCTGTTTGTATACAACATTTTTTATATAAAACTTGTTATATGTTCAAGTAGTAATTTGTTATTAATTTATGTAGTAAAAATTTAAAAGAACACACTTGTAATGTTAATCTTATTTTAAAACTAAAATTACAAATTTACAATAATATTATTTTCCATAGACGTGAATACGTACAGTACTTGTATGTCGCAACAATTACTGAACATAAAATAATTGCTCTGGGTAATTACGTGTAACCGTTACTCATGGAATCCACCATATTACTTAACAAACGTAAATTATAGTGAACAAAGTATGATACAATTAAGACAAAATTTCAAGGTATTTATATAATAGATTTTTCTGTTACCTTATCTACAAAGAATACTAAATGTACCTAAACTTTTTATAAAAAAAATAATTTGACTTCTTTTATGAAAAACGGCATCAAGCATTCTTCCATCTTCCATGAGACGCGCTCAAACTAAGTCCGAAACTCATAAATTATTCAAAAGCTAATAGAACTGATTTACCCAGTATTTCAAGCGAAAACTTGACATTAAAATTTTCAGATAAGTCTTTTTTAGGCACAAAAATCATTACTCTAGTATTTATTAATATAAAAAATGTACCTATATTGCGTACTTCTAAAGAAAAACGTGGTATCTACCATTATACTTATAGCGATACTCATTTTTTTTCTAATACTGTTTAGTATCATCCATCAAATATATCGACTGTGTGTCATGTAAAATTTGAGTCACAATTTCATCCTTCATTTCGTTTGACAGATGCTGAATAAATTAAAAATATGCTGTTGTTCTCTAAAGTACGAATTCAAACAAATCCATACAAAAGTCACGCAAAAAGGCTGCAATTAAAATTTATTGTAAAATAAAAAATTGCCTAAACGAATATATATTTAATTATGTAATAACATCAAAAATGGTAAAGCTTAAAGAAGAGGTTACATATGATGTACTCGTACAGTACAATAAAATTTCTGTTTACGTAGATATATTTTTATTGTTATATATGGCCCATATAATGAACTCATGTGAAAAAAATACCTACGAATATATGTGATAATAATAAAGTCCAATGGCTTCTTTGAGGAAAATATAGTTTTACTCAATCTTATAAGTTGTTGACACTTTCGTGATTTAGTTGCGATAATGTATATATATATATATATGCTTATATAGGCATTGTCACGTTACCTCAATCCCCACATTTACGAGGGATACCGTGAGTTGAATCATAGTTCTTGATATTAAATGGTGTCCATTATTAAGCAGCTTACACAATAGAGAGCTATGTTTAGAATGATGTATATTCGATTGCCACGCGCCGTTATCTCGCTCACAATAGGAAATCCGAACCGTTGTTTAACTCACCGGCGAATTTACGATAGGTACTATTTTGACAGCTTAAACGAGCTCTTACGAAACAATACAGCAGAGTTTGTTTGCGATATATCAAAGAGACCTAAGATAGGCTTGTTGTCATGTCATAATATGCAGGTTGAAATTATTAATTAATGATTAATTGACTGTGTTAAACTTGTTTATAAAAGTAGCTTTGTAACACAAATTTATAAACAAGTTCATGTAAAAATCATGTTTTAAATTAAATGCTTAAATCCCTTAACAATCTTTATTTTATTGATAAAATATTATCTATAATGTATTATATATCCAATAATAACATTTAAATAATATTTCAGGATAAGTTATTGTAATAAATTCACATTCAAAATAATGTAAGTTTAGGTAATATCAGAAACAAATTTATATTCTCCATATTAATATTTCACAAGTAAATTCGAGAATAATAGGTCTACAAAATATCTATATCCTATCTAATCCTCTATTTCATGGGATTCAGATTACATCAAAATTTGATTTTGTGAAAAATAACCCTTCCTATACAATTTCGTTGTTACTAACCGAAGACAAGATTTAAAACTATAAAAAAAATATTTATATTCAAAATTTATTCTGTTTAAAGTCTGTTAAAAGGAATCGCAATTTATTCTCGTCTTTTATTACGACGAAGTCTTAATTTTGTTGCATTCAATTTTATTCTGAAACTTACTAGAGCTGAGGAATAAAAGTAAACTCATATAATTGCAGTTTCATTTCTATATATACTACGTAACTGTTCTATATAAGTATTATTTAACAACATGACGATAATAATACGAGTAAAAATTAACATTTTATTTAAATTTCTTCCTTTTGCTTTTAAAGAAATAAAATGAAAAATCATTTGCCCTGAAGAAACATGGCGTCACTTTAAGGATTTTCTTTTGATTGATAATAGAAACTGGATTATGTGAAGAGGCGAGGAAAATGTAATTTATCAGGGTAATAAAAACAAATAAATTCAATAAACGCTGACTATCGAGTTATCAAATGGCCTTTTTATGAAATCGTAAACGAATATACGTTTCAGAATTATTTAATTACTATTCATTTAGAAATAAATAGTAATAGAGGAGGTACAGGACCATCGCCGTGGACGGCTTTGCTACGTTTTAGTAAAGTACCCACAAATAGTTTAATTATTTATACACAATAGCGGTCGTAATTATGAATTCACTACACATTTTTACTTATATTGAGATTAGCCATTTAAAATTTATAAATAAAAGTAATAAATTAACAAAATTTTCACTAGTAATATAGCCAATCATATTACTTTCTGTTACAAATTTTACAATTTACATTTATATTAACAATATTTTTGCTTATTCAAATTTAAACAGACAGCTAAAACTAAATTTAATGAAATGTGTAATAATACCCTCATATATATTATACCATACCCAATTATGTAGCCATAACAATTTTTTCACTCATCCTTTCGTCTGTTAATATCAAACCAGATGATGAAAAGGATAGTATAATATCTTACACCTTTTTTTCTATTTAAGTAAAAACTTGAAGTGATAAATAAGACTAACGTTTATTTTTCAGGCACCCCAGCTAATTACATTCAATGATGGGAAATTGGGAGTTAATTTTGGAGGATACCATGCAGCTGTTGGTATTGGAGGATTAGGTACTTAACTTAATATATATTATGATATTATACAACTGTTAATCATCATCATCATCATAATCATCGCAGCCCGGAAGACGTCCACTGCTGGACATAGGCCTGTTAATATATATAATAAATTCGATTATTTTGATAAAACAAAACACAAAATCAATTAACTGACAAATAATTACCATCACGTTGTGAAAAACCCATAACGTCAAACCTATCACTTTATGTGTCTATCATTGTCAATCAAAAAGGACGTTATTATGTCCTGTCACAGACACAATGATTCATTCCCAAGAAATAGAAATGACATCAGAAACAAAAGACATGCGTTTATGAAATTTATTCTGAACAATAATTTGAACCTTCAATTTTAAAAATGGTTTTGAACCTATTAGACGTATAAGATCACAGAATATACAAAAGTCGACTTTAAAATGTGGTGATACATTATTATTACTTGAGAAGCATCTGTCTTATTGTATTGATTTAAGAACATGAAATACAGTGTATTATTTCTTTCGAAAGAGAAATTGACACTGTCTTTTGGAGCATTTTTCGTTAATTGGTTCATAGGATGTGCATATTCTTATTTCATCAAGACATTTAGAAAAAACTTGAATGCTGAATATAGATTTTTTTCAGGTACTAAAGGAGGAGCAGGCGGTGGCCTCTTCGCTGAAGCTGGAACACCTTATGGACAATCAGCAAAAGCTGGGTTAGGTGGAGCAGTTGATTCTAAAGGAGGGTCTGGAGGTAAGATCTTTTAGTTTGCCTTAGTCAAATTTTATATAATTCACAGGGTTGAGTTTAATCATGAATACATTATTATCATTATTTCTGACGAAATTATTGCAAAATAAACATAACAATACCTCAGTCTTTCAAAGTTTTAACAAAATATATCGATATACATTAAAATGTACAAATATATTATACAATTTTCATTGTATGTAGTATTGTAGAGATTTGTGGTACCAAATTTTATCAATTTAAACGCCCTTGGGAACTATACCGGGAAAACCGGAGAAAGCACAATAGATTTCATTAATTGACTCTAATTAATGTTGTAGAAAGGCAGAACATACTCCCCATTTCAAGTAAAGTAAATCTAAGATCTAAGTAAATTATTTAATCTCCTTATACCTCACATTGTTAATTTCCTATTATAATGAATATTTAGAGGTACACATGATTATTATAATATTATTTTGGTAAAATTCGATGGTAGTATCATATGAATTAATATCTCTCTATGCAAACAATATTCTAATACGTCTTGTTGCAACGTGAATGATTTATAAATATTCAATCACTTTATAAATTAATTTGTAAATTAACAAATATATGATGATGAGAATTGTATAAAAGAAAATGTACGGATGTTTTCAGGAGGTTTATATGCCGGCGCAACTGCAGGTGGCAATGTAAGGGCTGAAGCTGGTCTTACTGGAGGAGTTCAAGCAGACAAAACAGCTGGAGTTGGCTATGCTTCAGCTCAATCTGGAAACCATATGGCGGCATCGGGTTTGGTAGGTGATAGAGTTGAACTAGCAAGGCGAAGAAAAGAAGAGAAACGCAGGAGAAAGGAGCAAAAAAAGCAAGCTAAAAAAGCAAAAAAAGATTAATCAATTTCCCAGTTTAATTTTTTGTATCTTTTCAATTACTAATACTCATTTTACATGCTTGTATCAAATAATATTCTCATTTTTTTTATTAAAATGAAGTCTGATAGATGTTGTTATGATTAACTTGATTTAAAACCTGTACTGAAATGTCTTTCAAATTATGATGTAGCAACCAATATCAGAATTAATAAAGGTACAGTAGCCTAATTTCTAGCGCATGTGCTATCACTATTCATGATTCATTACGCAAAAATCTATAATGCTGCAAATGCATGAAGCTTGTCTTAAAAATACATATAAATAATCTAACGTTTTTTTTAAAAACGAATCTATTTTACAAGCACTTGTGTCTTCACTTATTTTATTTTTGAATACTTTTGTTTGCGGCATGTGGCACTCATTATGAATGAACTATCATTATTGCCATGCATCTATAATTTGTTACTTATACATTTTTTTGTATTCTAATACAAGTAAAATCACAGGTAGGTGACTCATCTGCAAATGGAGGATCAGGATACATGTTTTCGGGCACTAAATCTTTTGGAGTATCCAGAGGAACAGTAAAAGAATCCGATCTTGCTGTCCAGCCAATAGAAGTTTCAAAACCTGTTCAGAAAAAAGTTCATAAAGAATTCGACTTTGATGCTGCTAATGAAGTTAACTTTGTAGCATTAAAGGATGCTCCAGTTAATACTGACACAGATGATGAAAATGTAAAGACTGACGTGCAGCCTGCAGTTGCTGTCAAGGAAGTGAGTAAATCTTGTGATGGTAAAATTAATGTATAGATTATTCTAGTCATTGTTTTATTAGTATAGAATAACACTTAATTGTTTCATAACTATTTTACGATCTCTTCTCATAAGAGTAGGATTTAGTCTACTATATACATGCTATTTAGCGTACTTTGGTATATGATTTATTTTAGATTACTACTTCACAATCGCATATTACATCGTTCTGGAGTTGAAAAAAATGTTTTGTTTGTTTAATTATTTGCAAAAATATTTACATGTATAACCACGATGTATACATAAATATTACAGATATATGTACCATCTCGACCTCAAGTAATAGAGAAACATATTATTCATACTCAGTACAAACCCCGACATCAGTTACGTAAGAATGCTTATATTGGAGGGTTCCTTGGTGGAGAGGTCCAACCTGCACCGGTAGTATTTCAAACTCAACCAGCTATCGCAAGGAGAATCGACGTGGGCGTTGATGCAGCTGCTGATGCTGGAGTTTCTGCAGAAGAATCCGTCAATGGAGGTGCTGGAAACCATGGAGTATACACAAAACAAGTAACTTTCCAAAGAAATCCGGACTTCTTTGCTGACATTTTTAATGTAAGTATAATACTATCATATATAGCATATTTTGTATTGTAATTTAAAATTATAATTATTCATATAATTATTTTTATTAACATTAAACTAAGTATCACACACACAACTGTGCGACTTAAATTTAACTAACTATTATCTTACCACGAAATCTATGTAATTTTCTTTTAACTACCTATATAATGGCAAAGAAGCTAAAAAGTAAGAATCGGTGAGAGCAAATGGAACAGCAAAGTAAAATAACTTACAGATTTCACTTAAAATAAACTTATAGAACTTCTATATTATTTCAAATATGTGTGTATTTAAAATTAATGAATACTGACTTGGTTTAAACTATATTCAGCTCTATTATTATAATTCAAAGCACAATAAAGTTCGCCTATTCATTATAGAGTAAGAGTTTGAACTTTCTGTTCAATTCATAACTTGTGAATAGAAATATGCTTATTGAATCCTTTACCTCTATTTACTAACATACAATATAAATTGGACATTCAAGTCAATATGGAAACAAATAACATTATTTGGCTTAAATAGGAGGTAAAAATAATTCACTATATTCTTAGTTATTACATATGTGTATATGGATAATATGGAAACTTTTACATATTACAAATTTATGTAGAGTATGTATTGACCTCGATGTCGTAATAGTTTTGATCATTTAATTTACATATATTTAAAATTTAATATACTGTCACGGTTGTAATTTCCACAGATTCCCATTTCGGCCCTGAAAGCAGTGGGTAATTTCCTTACTAATACTGCCGGAAGCACCAATGTTTCCGTTCAGAAAACCGGCTCTTTGCAAGCAGGTGCTTACTTTGTGTAATAATAATACATATTAGAATTAAGTTTTGTACAACGACAATAATAAAATAATTAAACACTAATGCAATTTCATTTCTGTTGTGGCAAGTAATTTATTAAATTTGTGATTGTCATAAATCTCGATCTTATATTTAGATCCACATAAAAATATTTATGCACATTTTACAGCTCTGATAACCTTGAAGCTCGCCTCTGTAGGGAATACTCGAGAATAATCTTAACGCTTTCGTTCCTCTCATAATTTTGATGATATTTTTATCTTTTAGATTTTATTTTGTATTTGTTTTTTTTTTGTACCTATCGTGACTTAACAACATGTTTCACAAACTTGTTAAGTACTATATTATCACTTATTATCTGAAAAATGGTGATGTTAAATATTAAACCACAATTTAATTTCTGTATTGAAACTAATGTTCTTATATCTCTGTAAAATGGTACTTACTATGTTTTTGGACCAATATAAACAGATATGAGGAAAAGTTTCCGTCATGGTGCAAAGCTGGATGCAGTAGTTAATATTGTTGCTGTCTTACATGTTTATTATTTTTCGGTTCTAAGAGTGAAAAATAATAGGTAATTAAATTGAAAAAAGATGTGATGTTACTAGTTATTGTAATTCAAGAGCAGAAGTGTGAGGTCTCTGGTGTCGTTAGTGTCCATAGATTGCGTTAGCTGTTACCTATCATGTTTAAGAACATCAAGCTTAATTATTTCACGTCTATGTGGAAGTATATGTATGTCAACACAAAATGAGATGTCAGTTCCATGTCAGTAACAAAATCAACGACACCGGTATAAGTTACAAGTTATATTAAGAATGAAAAGATTGACAGCTGATCTACTAGTCTAGGTAGACTGTTTTCTTCTATTATTTCACCGCAGGATGTAATAGTTCCATCACTCATTAGTTTTGCAATTAGAAGCATGTCAGTAATATACACTTTATAATAACCTTATTAAAGTAGCATCTCATTACTGCATGACACATCTACTCTACTTGCCTCCATAAGCATAGACAAGTGCTCGTTTCATCTTCTTCTAGTTCCATCTATATGCATCGCATGTTATTTAATTTTTAGTAACATTTCTTTTTTCACCTATTGTTTAATTTCTGTAACAGATTCTGATACAAATTCATCGAAGAATACCCCGGTATCATCACTTTCATCATCGGATACGGAGATCACGTTACAGGCACCAAATGTATCCCAAGTTATTGACGATATACTAGCTGTAAGTTCATATTCATGCTTAAAAATTTTACCAATCATACCATTCAACCACACATTTTATTTTCAAGTATTTATTTATAATATATTAGTAGTTAGTGTCTAATATATCAGGATTTTTATAATATATAAATATATGCCTAATTTCTATTTATTGAATATTTTATGTAGTAACAAATATTATTAGAATAATAATACGTAATTAGAATTTTAGATTTTGCAGGTTATTGGTAAGTAAAATTATTACTTGGCCTTTATTGAAGTACTAGAAAAATATGCAATTGATATTGCATATTGCATATTGATTTGAAGATAGAAGTACTAATGGCTCATTAACAATAAATAAGTGAGTACATGGTATGTATTTATCAATAATTAATAAAACTGTACAATAAAGTAGAAGTAACTTAATTAATTTAAATAGCGAAGATCGAAGATCGAAGATCAAACATACTGTTGCACAGTATGTTTGAACAGAAAATTATTGCAATAGATTTTTTTTTAAATTATTATGGCAACAGAAGACGAATTAAAAGTTACGTTCAAGCTTATTGTCATATTACAACTGTGATCCTATAAAAAAAAAAACAAATATATACATACTCTATATAATTTAAAGCATATGTTGTTTGAGATAAGAATTGATAAGCATATCTCAATTATTCACTGATTTATATTGTTTTATTTTAGTTCAAATAAATATAACATTAATTCGAATACTACATGCAAATAATTATCCTGCTTTTAAGAAATTTAATATTGTGTGAAAATGGAAGTGCAAAATAATTATCTTACTTCTAATCTGATAATAGAGAGAGCAACCGCTGAAAGTCCTACTTAACAATCAGTCGTCTGATAGTGTCTTAATTAGCTACTTACCTTACTAATATTTTCATGACAACCTGAAATGATTATGCTTATTATTTCAACATTAGTATGATTGCACACTATTGCATTCATATCAAATGGCTGAGGTATCTAATCGATATCAAAATAATTTTTCAATCAAAATATTTTTGTAATATTCACGAAAACTACTACTTATTTGTAGAATTGCTATTGTCAATATATCAGTAATATAGCTGTAACAATCTCGAACGTAACAAAAGCCACAAAAAATAGCAGTCCGGAGTGGATGGATTACATCTTCTCCTAAAAAATGGGGAAAATAAATTGCGCGTCACATTGCTACGAGAATTCATTTGGTAAAGTACACACAATCTGATGTTTAAAAACACAATGTAGCGAAATGGATATGTATCCAAAAGTAATAACCTTATAGCGGTTATTATTTTTGTAAAAGTATTTTTTGTATTATTTGAAACTATCGTCTTTTCCATTATAGATTCCCATTAATACACTGGGAGCTGTGAATAAATTTTTGGAGAACAACGTACCAGCTAGAAGAAAAGTACAGGTAATATAATACACTATATACATTTTTACAATTCTGCATTTATAAAATAATGTTATACATTTTAAGTCATGTTGCAGAATTGTAAAATGGGTATTTCGAAAAAAAATTGTAGTAAGACAACTTATTATTAAGCGACCCGTCTATCAGGTGGATCGCTATAATTTAATAATTATAACTTATGATTCTCCTATGATGATCTCTTTACCAGGGACATTTGTTCATTTAAGCATAAGATCTGGACTCGTCCAGTAATGACCCGAATAACGAGAGTAAATTGAAATTTATCAATTTCAACCCTCACCCGGTCCTTCCTAGTATATATAGTATCAACAAACTTAAACAACGCGATTCATAAATGAATATATTTTTTTTGTGTATCTCTCATACAATGTTGCCAATTCTATATATAATTACATATTATTAATTTCCATAGGTCAGCCAAAACGGAACTAATGAGGCACCAAGAGCTAGATTGGGACCACACGCGAGAAGACGAGCAAACAAGCAAGTTGTGATTATTCAAGAAAAGGAGTCCCCCGAAAACAAAGAATAACTGTATTAATATTAATGTATGTGCATTATATAGATATATTCTATTAGTACAAAATATGTATACAGTACATAATTTACTGTATTAAAAATGAGAGGCATTTTATTGTAAATATATAATATTCAATTACGTTAATAAATGTGTAATATTAATTGTTTTCTTTTATTGCGATACGTGTCTTTCATTGATTTTGTTAGGAGATATCATCTACTACAGCATTAGTAAATTTCTATCTACTAAAGTATGTTTAGAATATTACACAAATTGTTATTACATTATGTATCTATGCATGTAATACACAATTTAAAATACATCAGTGATCATTAGTCTAAATGACTTATAACAAGATTGGTTATACCTAAATCATAATAATATAATATTATTGTTATACTTGGATTTGCTTACATTATTCAATTTACTAAAATCGATTCAGATTCTGTCGTAATAAATAGCCAAAAAATAGAATGGAACCTTATACTTAACTAGTAATTGTTATGTAACAGTCATTCCTAAAACAAATATGATTTGGAACTAAATATATCTATTTATATTTCGTACCACAGTACCACAGAGTACCTATTCTTTGTTTTCTATCCCCTATATCTATAACCACTGTCCATAAGTCAATTCTAACTTCTATATTCATAATATTTACTTCAATAAAAAGAAAAGTTAAACACATACAGACATTATAAATTGTAAATCTATAACATAATAAAAGCTAAATATACTCCACTCTGTATATAAATGGAGTTAAAAATAATATGTTTATAATAGCTGCAAATAGAAATATAATGAGTGCAAAAGCATTATTGTTACTTGTTTACTAAATTTTGCAAGCTACAGATTACTACAAATATGACTAAAATATTTGCATACATATTATTAGTTATTCATTTCGAGTATCTAATTGAAGTATTTGGTTACAAAACCACAGTTGAAAGTGTAGAAAAATGCCAAGATGTGGTAGAAAATAGAGACAAAGTTGTAGTTAACATAGAAGCCTACAATAAAAGTGGAAAATTAATCATTAAAGGATATGGTGAAGTCAAAGAAGATATTCAAGGTTACTTATGGAGATTAAAAACAATTGTTGAACACCCCAGTGAGCATACAAACCAAGTTGTATTCGATTATAAAGGACTTACGTGTAAAAATATTTTAATCAATCTTGTCTTGCTCGCTTCTAGAGTTAAATATGACAAGAAAACATGCTTATATAAAAAAGGAACATACTCATTCGATAATCTAGACCTTTTGAAGTTAGAATCAGCTGTATCCTTCATACCTTTAAGAGAAATGGGAGTGAACCATTTGTATTTAAGCGCTTATAATGGAAACGATATTGTATTTTGTTTTCATGCAAGAGTCTTGTTCTCTTAAAACTAATAATTTGTTTACACTAAAAAATCAATCACTCAAGCATTTCAAAATGTCTTAAAATTAAAACAAAGGCAATTTATTCGATTTATTTTAGAATAGTAAATTATGTTGCTTATTAATATTACTGATTAAAGTTCTTGTATTTTATGTACATATCTATTATTTTTTGCAGTACATACGTATCATTTATGAGTGTTTCTCTATAAATTTTTACTTGTTATAACTATTATTTTTATTAAACCTGACGGATTTCGTAGTTGTCCTTGTCATAATCTACAGCAGTAGAGTTGACTTAATACAAAGTTCGATTTTATTTAATACATTCGATATAATAATTAACGGAATTCCCTCTGATCTTATCTAATATGTAATAAAAATTTATAATTACATTTCTAAACTAATATTAAAAAATAAATTATACTTAATAATTGCCTGATTTTGTTTAATTTTTACATTTCCTTCATATAATTTTCATTGATCAAATAAAAAACTTATAATTTACAAAACTCATGAAACTCAATAGTTAGTAGTTTTATATGTATAGATAAAATAGAGTATTAACATTGTGGTCATACCAAATATAATAGAGGATCCTTTAGTCCTTTGAGGATTTGATGGTATATAATATCAACTATATAATGCTATTTACTAAATCCCTTTTTTTGAATAAGAACATTATTGACAAGTGAAGGTAAATCGATCAATATTTATGTAGCAGATATTTAAAATTAACGTTTTTAATGACCAATAAGTATGCCTATTTTTATCTTTATATTTGTACTCATTTTTTAGTACTTATCATTTGTCATATATAATAGCAAACAAATATATTTTTTCAGTAATGAATTCCTATAATATGATTTTACCAATGCATACATAATATCTACATATAAAAAACAGATCCTCGTCGACACAGAGGTTTCCACGTTCCTATGTGTGTCAAATTATATTATACTTACTCATTACTGAAAATTACTTTAAGCAAACTTACATGATTAGTACAGACTAATCTTTACATATTAAAGTATAAAGTAATCGGTATTATGTAATTATTATATAAACTTTATTATTAAAAATATTCAATAAAATAAAATACATTTACTGATACCAAGAATAATATTATCTATAATAGTATATCTGCAGGGACAGTAATCGTTACTTCGTAGTTGGAATATAAATGGCCATAAGACGGTAACCACAGTAAAACTAATAGTGGCTTATCTCCTAAAATACTATCGAAAGCAGAATTGAATGCAGATTAGTAACAAACCCAATGGTTTGCCAAAGTACAGGAATTTCAACTAAATTAAAATAAGAGGTTTCCAGTTCCCAGCCGATGTTGACATAAGTACGGACCCTCGTTAAGTTGCTACACCTCTAATTAAATTAAGAACCCTGAATCATTAACCGAAAGAGCTTGTAATCTCAAATCTACTTGTGGTGTGTCTGGTTTTCGAGATCACAATACTAGTCCCAAAAACGCGTTTCCATTTTCTCCCAATTTAATCAGAGAAGCAACATTTATTCGACGATTGTGACATTTTCATCAAGGGAATACTCAGTGATTGAAGAATCACTCTTTCAATTTATTACATAATAATAATTATAATAAAAGAAGTAATAAGTGACTTTAGATGACATATATAACAATAATATAACGGCTACTAGTTTTAAACTAAACTAATCTTGTACTGGTTACTAGATATCTTATTTTAATAGATACACAATCTTCATACAAACAGTACAAGAATAAAGAAATTTCACAGTAAGAAAGATACGTAATCAAAAATGTTTATAATTTTCTCCACCCATCGTTAACAACGAGCTACTTTGAACCTACCTCATATCTGAAAGTAATTTGTAATATTTTTTTTAAATATTGGTATGTACCTATATGTAAATCTGTTAATAGATCATAATAATATAAGGCTTTACGTTCCTCACAAGAATAATTAATAAGAGTTTAATGTGAAACTTGATTATTAATTAAAATTAGAGAGCATGGGAGCCACGATAATTCAATGATATTATAAGCCATGGAACTATCTCTTCCGTGATTATATTGTTTGAAGTTCATTACGTAGGGAAGCAAATTAAATTAATATTGATAAGAGAATTATTCTTGGGGCTTTAATTATTTATAAAAACATAAACTTGTACTCATGGTGTCATCTACTATACAAGAAAAAAATTCTTAATGCAATCTGGGTGTTCCCTAAAGGAAATACTTAGTTCACCTCAAGTTTAATTACTCTCTACTCTCAAGCACTAAAATATTTAGTTTACATATTTACGTCGGTAAGAATTTACAACAAGATATTTTAATTAATCTGACGTAGAAATCGACAACTTTACGTTCCACATCATGAATTAATTATTCAGTTTGTGATAATATTTAGTTATGTTAGCTCAATGCTAGTAATGTGAAATTACATTATCATTGGCAACAGATATAGAACTTGAAAATCAAATAATACCGACGTACATAATTACACATAGCTGGTTACTTGAAACATTAATATAATTGAAAAAAATGCTGTATAATTTAATATATTAATGACAATTTTGGAGACTTTAATTATTAATTAAAAATATATAATTATTTTTAATTAATAATTAAAGTCTACCACGAAATTTAAATCTAAATTATGTATTATACACATGATTATTTAGCCCATCAACATTTCAATCCGATGCTGACATGGGAACTCTTTGCAGATTATCACAATGTTCGCACAAATGAATCTAAATACGTCATATGGAGCACGTATTTAGATTCATTTGTGCTTTTTTGGTTTGTTTGGTTGTTTAGATCTGCACCGAACATATATTCGCTTGAATGTATAAAAATTAATTAATTATCCAACATTATGTTTCGTTTCGTAATTATTTAATGTGGTTTTCATATAGATATTTTTAATTAAAACTTCCTTACGGAACATTGCTTTAAACTTTTTACATTTCATACATTGTTTTCAAATCTCCCGTTAATTCCTAACGTTACTTTGTTACATCTTTATTTAGTATAAGATACCTACTTCTCTCAACACGTAATTATATATTTGAGGAAAGTGTGACGAAATTCCTTATGGAACGAAAAGAGTTGCTTTTTGACCTATTTCAAAAAGTAACTCTTTTCGTTACATAATTACATAAGAATTCGTAATATCTACAATATTCGTAATATTGTATTATAAATTCAGTGACATTTCTTGTAATATGGTGGATTTTTGTTGTTCAACTTTCTTTAACTTTAAATAAGTTTTAAATAGATTTACAAAAGCCTAACTTTTAAGCACAATTGAAGAAGGGAAAAGGAGATTGAAAGAAAATACAACTCAAATTATTGTAGCCACAGTGAACGCTAATTGAGTTTTTATTACAATTCTTTTCAATAGACAAATGCGATGAGTTTCATTATGTCTTTATATACACTCTTTAAAATAAAGAAACCAAATATAAATTCGTACATTTGTCGAATATCAATATTATTATATATACAAGTCAAACATTTATTTAGCGGTTAAAATTCCTTGAATGATATGAACGTCAATATAAAAGGTTTTATTATACATCGATTCTCAGTAAAGTCACTTATATTCTTGAAGAATAAAATTTATTATCTTCAAATGCAGGTACTGTGTGATTTTGCGTACGTGGATACCTTAGAAGCAAATGGAATGTAACACGAATTCTCGCGAGGTGATCGGTCGGTCGATCACATGTGTAACAATGAGCA